AAACATTGTACATTTGCTGTTATGTTAAACTTATATTAAAGTTTTCTTCATTACCCATTCAAGCCGTCTCCAAGCATTATTAAACTATAATACTATCTAACCATAAGAGGTGGAAACATACATTTAACAGTGTACTAAAAACACCAAGTTGTAATACCATAACTGGTCTGTATTATATATATATATACCATCTAACAATATACCAGTAATACTGGATTAGAATACCATAACTAGATTAAACTATAATACTATCTAACCATAAGAGGTGGAAACACACAATTTACCAATATTCTAGGAAAATCAAGTTGCAATGCTGTAACTGGTCTCATTTATGGGAAGTGCCTGTAATCCAAAATGTTTTATCAAACAGGATGTTTTACGTATTGATTTTCTTTAGTGAGCTAATGAAATCAATTTTTAAATTAAGTGGCAGATGTCTTTTGTAATACACATTTTAATATCAGAGATATGACCCTAAAATGTTTTCCAAATGATTGATGGCTTACCTGAAACATGTTTATTATGTGTTTAATTAATAAACTGGTTTAAATAAAAGTTATCTTCCATTAAAAGTGCAACTACTTGTTGTACAACTAAGGAAGAGTGCTGCAACAATCTAATTTCTTTTCTGTTACATACATCAAACAAAATGCAGATCCCGTCACTTTATTTTTGACTCTATTCAAATTTGAAAAAAAATTGTCTCTCATTCCAAAAACACAAGTATTTTCCTTTCATAATTGACTATTAGGAAGTTTTAATTAATATTTGATGAAAAATATTTTCCATTGAGACTTCCTATGATATTATATACTGTACTTATTGTAATTTACTTCAATTTTTTATTATTTTATCATATCTTTAAGTCTCTCGCAACTTTCTTTTCGTCTCAACAAATCAGTTATACCACTGTCTAATTCAAAATGTTTTTTATTATTTCTGAAACCTCTCTATTTATATGTTTGTAACACTCTAGTCCTATACTCCAGTATAAAATAATACTTTCTACACTTTAGAGTCCTGTTCAGTTTTTATTTGGTATAGTTGTCACTTATACTTGGACTAAACTTATCATTTCACAAATCTACTATCCTACATCTGTCAGTTATCCTGATTCTTACATGACAACAAGGTTTTGGCAACATGCCCATATGCCAAGTGTTTGTCAACTGCTTGTCTGAGAAGAAACACTAATCTGTGGTTGATTACAAGTAGTCATAAAAATAAAAACTCAGAAACTGAGTGATCCTTCTAGTAGCAAATACAGTTGGGCAGAGTGCAGCAAGGTGTTTGAGCATATAGTCAATGGAACAACGTCAACAAAACTTAACCTACATAAATAATGTAAAATACAATCAATAAAGTTCTCCAACTACAGTTATAACACTTTGTTTTTCATTTGTACTTCACTGTTCTGGTTTAAATTTTCTACTGCATTTCTCAGAAGATTGTTCTATTTTATCAATGAAACAAAGTACAATGGGTCAATGTAAAGGTACAAAAATAGACTGAGTTAAGTATAGAAACAAAATGGCTCACTTACACATAATAACCTAAATACAAATACCTTTAACTTCAAAAAAGCTATATGATTTAAACTAGTAGGTATCTAGAACAAATAAGAAATGAAAATTACTTCTAAAACTTAAAATGGTATTAAGATTAGCTACTGAATTATAAAATCCCAAAAAACCATCAGTTGTGAACAACAACATACATGGCTTAAGGATATATAAAGCTTCACCAATTTCTGTTGTATTGTATTGTAGGTATAAAAAATATTAATTAGGAAATGATGTAGAGAGAAATATGTCTGTTAAAGCATAATCTAAGAGTCAAAACTCGCAGATTAAATGAAGATATACTTAGACATAAATATAAACTAATCAATAGTTAACAAAAGAAATTATATTATAAATGTTAGTAAACTTATAGTATTTCAAGTTCTGCACAAATATTTAAACATTTTATCTGTTGATATACGACGTACAAAATCAAAAGGACTTAAATTATAATAGAATGTATTACTTCATAACTTATAATTTGAAATCATGGACCAATGAGGTTATTTTCAGTTATGTTTTTCTGACATAAATGAACCATGTTAACTCACAAGGAAAAACATTTTACCATTGTACTCAAACCAAGTTTTTTAAATAAACTGCTTATGCAATAAAAGACAAATTATGGTCAAAATCACATGGATTGAAATTGTTTTAAGTGGGTCTCAAATGTGTTAATATTGTGTGGCCCCTTACAAATATGAACTGAGTATCATTAGATAGGTCCCTGGGCACAAAAAGTACTAATCTTATACACATACATATAAAAAGTTGATTTTTTATGAGCTTGGACTAAGTTGGGCTAGGTGGGCTACTGGGACTCTGGGAGGTGGAGCAGTTCCCACACTTATATACACACCAATGAATATATATTTAATTTCATGCATCTTGCTGTTCCATCTATATGCTCTTTATAACTCAGTTTATCAAAATGTTAGCATTTACAGCTATCTTACTCACAGAGAATGCCTTAAAGCCTAGAGAGAGAGAGATAAAAAATCATGTTAGTGGAACACTGAATATACAGAAAACTTATGATTTGTATATTAGTTTTAACCTATAGCATAAAATCCTTAAACTCACATTAAGCATGGAATTTCCAAGGGAGGTCGGCTGTAAAGCACAAGAAATGATATTTAGTCAGGTGAACATAAATCAATACTCTTGAGATAATATCCTTGATCAAATTAAATCTGAAAATTAAAATAGAATAAAAGTAAACAGAGCAAAAATTTCTCTCTCTCTGATAGTGGCTTTTGGAGAGTATAATTATTATTTGTTAAATATTTAGATGTAAACTGAAGTTGAAGATGTTAGTAAAATTACTAACAACAAAAGAAAATAAAGTACATTGATTTGTGAGAATGAATATAATCTAAAATTTTTATATATAAATTTTGAAAACTGATGGAACAGCAAGTTGCTATGTAATATACGACATATCTTCCATCTCATCAGAATTAAATGAAAATAAATTAAATGTGTTAGATCACAAGATCTCAAAACCTTACAAATGGCTCTCTCATCTAAATTCTACTATAGCATACATAAAAAATATCATTAATATTCCAACTAAACAATGTAGAGGCATAGGCAAAAATATAATTTCTTGCTGATTTCAAAACAAGTCACTTCTTGTCATTACATACCTAGGAACACACTGCTCATCAATTCTGTTGTTGTTATTAAATGATGATTATACACCAATTGTCTCTACATTATTTACATTGTCATTCTAGAACTATGTAAAAAGCTTTATTCAATCCTGTATTTGTGGTTATTTCTCTTTTAACTTATTTAGGAATTAACTAAAAAAAAGCATTATTACTAAATGTTAACTTCTATGATGTAACAGATTCACATCACAATTATTAGCCTGCAACTTCTTTTATGACTGTTATACATAACATGATCATAGCCATACGTCAGTACATTATACATATTTCCCCATCCACTACTTCTCTTCGAAAAACACTAAAATTTGAAATTTTCTGAAAATAATATGTGGAAGGTCAGCCAAGTTTCAAAAAATCATATTTCTTAGTGGCTAATCCAAGCAAGGTTTAAACTGATTATCAACTTATATGCATCATGACTTCAATACACATAGGAGATAAACTTATTTATTTGAGGTTCAAGTAAATGAGCATACATAATGAACGCACACACATCTTAATGACTAAACAACCATATGACTCAGTATCTCAAATTTATAACATTTATAGCCACATTCTTGCTCATTAATTGCACTTAAATATATGAATTTTCAATAAAACTGTTGTAGTGTAAAATTTTTTGGAGTTAATAAAAATTTAAATGAATTGTCTTACATCTCAAGGAAAAAATTAAGTTAGTTTTAAAACTGAATGTTATCATAAGTTTTACTCTCAAAGCTTAGCAATCTCCAAATAATTTTCAAGCATCTGATATTTTTAAAAGACTCTTAACAACTTTTATGGAAGAAAATAATGTTTTATTTGCTAGAGTTTTAATTGTTTGTGAATATTAAATATTCTTTTAGATGAACATTTTGTTATTTTCTGCCATTGTTAAATGTTTTATTTGCTAGAGTTTTAATTGTTTGTGAATATTAAATATTCTTTTAGATGAACATTTTGTTATTTTCTGCCATTGTACATTAAAAAACAACAAAAAATATATAATATTAAAAGTTAACATTTTCTATACTTCAAAATGTATTTTTGATAGATACTTACCTCTCTACACACAATAGGTGCTGTTGAGATTTTGCACACACCACTAACCTTGAATTATTTTCCACCTAAATCATGTGTTTTGATGTGAAATGTGCTGGTACATCATGTAATCATCATGGTGCAATAGCCCTCCACAAATAGGAGGGCAACATATTCTCCATGTGCAGTAGATCCCCATAAGCACTTGCACTCAAAATTAACTTCATTCTTAGATGAGTCAAAAATAATGTGCAGTGGTAGTGGGAAGGTGTACAGAGAGGTAAGTATCTATCAGAAATACATTTTCAGGTAAGGAAAATGTTGACTTCCAAAACAAACCACTTACCTCTTTGTACACAGTAGCTAGAATCACACATTGATGTGGTGGAGGGGCTGGTGCAAATAAGAAAACCTAGATGACCTCCCTTCTGATATGGCCTCAGAAGTGGAATGTCTATGAATTGTGACACCCAATAGTGGGGAGTTACTAGAGGGGTAACACTTGTGGGAGACCATATCCTTCTCAGGTAGGGTATACTCTTTACCTGGATGAAAGTATGAAAGGAGGAAGGCAAAAATGAGCCAATGTGTTGCAGGGATTGGCAGAAAAAAAATACATGACTAACCAAGCTTTTCAACATGAAAAGTCAGTTTTGGTATGTATTCTGTTGTACAATTTATCATCATACATACAGGAATAGAGACTAAGAAGGAATCACACAGCAAAAAATAGAGGATTGCAGACATCCTGAAAGGGAGTTGTGTATGTTGAGAAACACCATATTTCTTGAATGGGGCACAAGAAATTACCAAGGTCACAACTAATTAAACATAATCTCTATGAGCTGGGTAAAGGAGGATATTAATATCCCTGAACACCACTTTGAGGAAAGTTTCTTACCTTTTAAAACTAAATACCTGCCATGGCATTTTTCTTTTTTCTCAAGCCAGAAGGAGGAGGAAAGAGGCCCTTGAGGTAAGGTAAGAGAATTGACCAAGGATTCAAATGTGGTCTGGGTGAGAGTGTAAAGAACCACGAGAAAGTCCCAACCATGCAAATAAACAGAATCCAGGTACATGATGATGACAGAACCTTGTTGAAACGTTGTACATTTGCTGTTATGTTAAACTTATATTAGTGTTTCTTCATTACCCATTCAAGCCATCTCCAACCATTAACAGTTTAAGGGTGTCCACAGCCCAAGCAGCCAGATATGGGATCAGGGACCAAAAGAGCTGAGGTAATCAAACACTTTACAACTCACAGATGAAATGGAGAAAGGTTTAGCCCCAATGAGATGAAAAGAGAAAAGGACTCTCAAATCGATCAAATATAGAGTTGGAGTCAAAAACAACCAAGAAAATAAGACCAGCCATCCCAGATGAACAGCCTGTTGTAGGAGAAGGGATGTGGCTGTAGAAGAAGCTTACTGCCTAGAAGCGAAAAGTAGTCAAACATCCAGATATGGATGGAAACAAAGATCAAGACTGTGAATGTAACAAGCAAAAGCCCTCATAACTTGGCTGAAGACATAAGGAGCAAAAGTCATGCCAAAGGGTAGAGCCTGATACTGGTATACCATATCATGGTGGGCAAACTAAATAAAACATCATAAAGACAGAGCTACTGAAATGTGAAGAAAGATGTCTGAGAAATGGACTGTCTTCATCCAAATGTCGGGGAAAACAACCTATTCAGAGAAAGAAACCTTTCATCTGAAATGGGGGGGGGGGAATCAACAGAAATGGTTCAGAGAAGAAGTAAAATGAGGGGTTGCCAGTCTCCAGTATTCCTGGGGACAATGAAGAGATGGCAATATTAACTCAAAGAAAGGCAAATAACTCTCTCTGAAATCCTGAGTGATCCAATGGTCAGCCATGCAGTGAGTCCATAGGTTTGTAAAGACGAGAAGTGCCCCTATAGGACCTGATCTTACTGGGTACAAAGAGAGGTAGTTACTGGTGGGAAGGACAAAAGTTAACCCTCCAGGAAGAGAGTTTGCAAAAGGAGGTGGAGACGTGGGAAGAGGAAATGTGAGAGAGGATGAGGGTACATAGGCCAAGAAATATGACAAGATGCATGAGAATGGGTAAGATAGGATGGCAAGCAGCTTTTGTCCAAGACTCAAGGTGAGAGAAACACCCCCAATGACCTTGTGGCAAATAAGTGGAGCAAAATGCAAGCCATGTAGGAAGGATTGAGGAAAGTGAAAGACAAAGAAAAAGAGTAATCCATCTGAATAGATTTCAATTACACAGAAAATATGTGAAGAGAGCAAAAGCCAATGATGAGACCCTGGCCTAAGTAGGAAAAAGGACTTATTGGAGATACCCCAGGTAAACTATCTGGATCCCAGTGGAGGGGCTCAAATAAGAGATAAGAAGAAAACAGATGGTGAAGGGATAGAGCAAGGAAAAAACAAAGACAAGAGAAGTGAGCTCTAGTAAGAGATACAAAAGACAGAGGGTCAACCCAAAGCAGACAGAAGGGATTCCATGGATTGAGGATCCAAGAGGACAGAAGGGAAGTGACCATAAGCCGTGGTAAAGGAATCATGGAAACAAGGAATGGGAATGATGCTGATACAAAAAGATTTCATAATGAATCCTAAAGTCAGGTGAATAGGAAAGAAATGAAAGTACAGCATGAAAACATAGAATATAAATTGTGAAGAAACACAGGACATAGGAGAAAAGGGAAGCATAGTAAAACAAGACACAGTCAACAAAGAGAGAGAGAGAGGAATGACAAGTTCCTGAACAGCATAAAAAAAGGTCAGAGCAAAAACAGACAATGGAAGGAAATGGACAAAAACACTGACCTTGTGGTCAGGCTCAGGAATAAAGAATGCACAGGAAAAAGAGAAACTGGGAAGGAAAGAAGGGGAATTCTATTAATGGTGAAATTGGCAGTAACATCAGGCCTGTACATAATATCTGGGGCCTGTCCTGGAGAGGTACAGAAAGCCATCTTTATGAAAAATATCAGGATTTGGCAAATCTTCTCTGTAAAAATCTACAGCCTGTCTGATATTATAGATAGAAAACTCTTGTGTGAGTTTTGATGGCATAAGTTTCTGAATTGATGCTGCTTGCTTTACATGTGCATCAAATCTGGAGGAAAGATTACTGATAAAGAAAAGGAATGGTTACTGTTTTCTTACAGTAATCAGTTCTCCACAGAACTATATTCTGCATTTGCATACTGGGCTTGTTGTTGACTAACTTCTGGCATGCTAACATTAATATTAGGTTCGTTTGCAATATTACTGCTGTACTTGAAAATATGATGTGAATAATCTTAGTGAAATCAGTTCTTTCTATTAGGGAAACACCAGAATCAATGTCTTGGCTTGGACCTTGCAAATTTACAGAAACTTCTTTCAAATAGTAAAGAGAATATTGTAAAGCTGTTAAACAAAAAATGAATTCAAAGTATTCCAGTATTTTTAGATATGCCATAGTATTTTTCTTATCTTTAGCAGCACAATTGTCATTAAACTTTTCAAAATTACCATCTCCATGCACAGTAACCTCACACATGTGAAGTAATTGAACCAGCCTGTGTGGACTTTGATGAAAAAAAGAGATAATTATATATACCATTAAAAAGCTCCGAATACAACTGCGGTAACCAACAGTGTAATGAACATTTGTATGTATATTTGATTTGTTTTAAAACAAGTGGACTGTGTTGCTGTTTGCTTATTCTTAAAATTAATCACCAACAAGTCACAGACATCTACTGTAAAAGACCTGGCCACAAAACCTGACAGTAGCAATATGGCTTAGGGCTTCTAATTACAAAGTGTCCACAGAAGCCATTGTATGCAATTATTTCAAGCCAAGAAAAGCTAATGCCTCATCAGAAGAATGCTGACTAAATTAAATACCACAAGTGGCTACACTATAATTATATAAACATAATATTTTGACTTCACAAAAATAGGGGGTTTGGCCAACCCCTCTGTGTACATTCGTGAACATCCTCCACAGACAAAGAATTTCCAGCAGCCACAGACAAGTTAGAAGCTGTGAGGAGTTTCAAGACATAATGTTGCATAGTATCTCGAGTTCTGCAAACAACCCTAATAGAGGACCTTAACTAGTCTCACTGCAGATGAAATTTCAGTTCCATGAATAGAGCTAGAACTTTAGGATAACAAAGCCATGAAATGTAATTTGACAGGGTTGAATAACAACATGAAAGGTAACCTGAACACAATTTGTAGCATATCATTGTTCAGAAATGAACAAAAGTGAGAAATGGAATCAAAATCTAATGAAATTCAAAAATGAAGAATAGACATGCACTGAAAGAATGAATAGCCAGAAAAACAGTAACTAAAATAATAAAGAATGCTAAATCAAATCAGTCACAAAGGTATGCAAAATCCTTCAAAATTCAAGAACAAAATTAGACATGTCTGGCAATGGCAGTAGTGAGTTTAAGAATGAAGTTAATTTCGAGTACTAGTGCTTATGGGGATCTACTGTGCATGGAGAATTTGTTACCCTCTTATTGGTGAAGGGCTATTGCCATATGATAATTACATAACCTACAAGTATAGTTTTCCTCAAAACACGTGATTTAGGTGAGATATAGTCCAAGGTCAGCAGTTGCACAAAATCTCAATGGCAGGTGCATGAGAAATAGCTGCTGTGTGCAGGGAGATAAGTGAATCATTTTGGAAACAAATGTTCAAGTCTTTTTAAATGGAATAATGTTACCAGATTAATATTAATTATGTGTAAATGTAGAACCTGCCTATCTGTTTTATTGTTACATATAGCAAACAGATTTAGAACTACATTTACTTATTTCTTACTTAATTTTCGTTGAAACCATAAAGATAAATGAATTTATAACAATATATTTAGATTAACAATATGTAAATTCAAATACCTAAAAATACATAGCAATTAAAGATCTTACAACTTCAAGAAAATAACATGTGCAAGAAATAGTTCTACAATTGTATTACAATTATTTCAGTTCAATAGTCAAAACAATGTAAAAACATACTGATGAATAATCACTTTATAGGACAACAAAATCTTGTAAGTTTACTCACAAAGTAATTATCTAACTTGCATTAAGAATGACAAATTATGAATGACAGTAGTGCCTTCTAATCACAGTTTATATTTTATTACCCACTTGTGCTATTTTAAAAATGTGTCTTAACCTTAGAAGGATTACCAATGGAGTTTATAGGGACCCTTTTAGTTTTTAAAATTTTGTTTCTGGAGATTATTGGAAAATGTGTTATCTTGTCAAATGAACAACCATTTTTTTAGATGTTTATAATCAGTATCTATAAAATGAAAAAGTTACAAATTTTAAGAGAAAACTACTAAATAATATTTCAATAACTCTGCAAAAAAAATTTCCAAAACAGTATTGTTACGCCTCCGGTCGTTAGTTAACTTCCCGTATAATTTCTTTCCGATGAAACTTTAGCAACACAAGTCCTTTCTTAAAAAAACTAGTTTATTCTTTCTCAATACAACTTTGAAATTCACTTAACTTCAACGGTCACACTATAAGTTAAACAAACGCTATAATTCACAACGAACGACACACGAGCTCGACCCAACAATACGTCTTTATCTCTGTCTGCAGTTCAATTACATTGTTGCAGTCACTTCTTACCGGTCTTATATATACAAGAATACCGCATATCTAGTAACCTCTCGAAATTTCATGAAGGGACATGAACGTTCTAGAAGCGCATGACGTGTTACTAGAGTCATGTGACCTCCGCTGTCGTAACAGCATATAGAAGATAAATTAATGATGATTACTGGCAATATATTTCTCCAAAACAGTAAACAGAATATAAAAGTATGATGATTACTGAAAATTTTCATAACAAACTATTAAAACACTCCAGGATTTTATTCCTGAAAACATTATATATAACTAGCAAAGGCACCCATGCCAGATTCATAATTTGTTTAGTTAGCTTCACATGGATGACAAGATAATGAGTATGTGCATCATTCGCTGGTACTAAGTTAATTCAGGGGAAAATTGAAATAATTGTAAAACTCATAACAATTACAAAATGAATAAAGTAAGGGATCTTAAAATCCCTCTGAGGTATACCCAAGAACCCCTGAGAGTTTCATGGTGGTCAAAGGTGAGAGAACTGGAAAATTTTAAGCACAGATGAACAAACATACATACATACAGGAGCTTCTTTTGTAGTATACATTTCCTGTTTTAAATTTGACATTTTAGTGCTTTTCTATTCAACTACCCATAGTTTAGTAAAACTATTATTTCTGTCTAAAAGGCAGTGAAAAACACACACATACACAAACACAATCTTGACAAATAGCACAAAAGGAACTAAAAAAAAAAGATATTCTGGTTTGCGACAGACAGAAATCCTGTTAAAATCAAACAAAATCATATCTTATCTATCTAAGGGTAATGTTTTTAACCATGTAAAATACAGGATTTCTCTTTACAATAACTATAGAAAACTTTAATAGAGTTGATTATGTTTTAAGTAAGAAAACTCAACATAAAGGTTTTCTTTCCCACAGTGCTATGCATATATAACTATCTTACATCACATTTACCTGCCTAAGTATTTCTTGCTGCCTGAGTCTGAGACGTTCTCGCTCCATCTGAAGTCTCTGGAGCCTTAGTTTTTGTTGTTGTTGCTGCTGCTGTTGAAGACTCAACTGGTTATTCACTGCTCCTGTCAAGGTGGTAACTGCTGCTGATATGGAAGCAGCTGCTGAAATGTTCTGAGCAAGAGACTGGGTTCCTGAAGAATTGGCTTGCACCTGCATGTTTTAAATAATTTTCAAAAATTATAATGTTCAGATGCAATTTATTTATTTACAATCTTTTATACTTACAAGAATATTTTAAAGGGAGAAGTTTTACAGAGCTCTTTTACTTTCATGTGTAGATGCAACACAGAACTGTAATTTTTTGTTTTTACTTGTTTGGTAACATGAATACCTTCTGCAACACCTTGTTCAATGAATGTGTTACAAAATAAATAAGTATATACTTCAGTTAAAAAAATTATTAAAGATATTTTATATATACTGTTACGTCTCCGTTCGTTAGTTAATTTTCCGTAAATTCGTTCCGACGAAACTTTAGCGACATAAGCCCTTTCTTAAATAAAACTGGTTTTCTTTCTGAATATAACTTTGCGATACACTTAATTTCAACAATCGCGCTATAACAAACACTATAATTCAAACAAACGTCTCACGTGCTCAACAATATTCTCTCTGACTGCAGTTCAATTATTCATTCTCCGTCACGTTGTGACCATTTTATATATACCAGACTACCCCCAATTTAGTAGTCTCCCGATAATTCACGAAGGTTCGAGAAGGACGTGGCGTGATACTAGTCACTTGACCTCGCTGACGCAACAATACATATAGAAACATGCATGCATGCACACATTTGGTCAGAGTTTTACAACAATAACAAAATACTATCTAAAATGTTGTTCAATAAACTTAAACAAATCCACAGTTATATAAAAACTATCTATATTCAAGTCATGTTATATTTCCTATTTACTAATACATATTTTGCTATAAAAAAAACAGCATGCCCATCTCAAATTTTCCATACCAAAACAAAACTCAAACTCTGAGACATAACTACAGAGACATATAGACGAAAATATTGGAATAATAACAAATCTTATTTATTTTTCTAATTCTATCAATATCTAAAAATACATTATACAAATGCTATACAGACATCACCTACTTTATAAAACTACATAAACAAGAATGTACTTGTAGATCTACTATAAAAAAATTGTATATAACCTGTGAGTACCAAGATGTTTCATACTGTAGACAATTTTCATAACATATTCTTTTTAACCAGCAGTTAGAATACAAAACGTCTGAAAATGCGGTATGACCACAGTTTCTGTTGATAGATAACTTTATTTTAGAAGTGCTGTGGTTAAAGTAAAACTGTGTTAAGCATTTAAATTAGATGGGTATTTATTATGACTACATGATACTCATAAAACCTTCACAGTAGAGTAGTAAACCTTATGCACCTACACATAGTTGGCTCTGTAATAAATTTTTCATAAAACATTACATTCTTAGAATATCAAACTAGTAGGCCTGCGTGCCTTATTTCTTACGGTAGCTAGTTACCTGTGATTGTTGCTCTTGCAGAGAAGGCATGGATGGTGGCTGTTGACCATGATGAGGATGATGCATTAGTGGTAATCTTCCAAGATTGAGAGCTGTTTAAACAGAAATTAATATACAAATTAATAATTTCTAACTTATATAGCACCTGTTATGTTTGTTGCTATGGCAACATTAATGTATTAACTCCTTAAATCCAGCAGATGCTCCCAGCCTCTGGCCGAAAATCCTGATTTATCCATTGGATGGTGACAGAGTCCAATAACATTTATGTCTCTTTGGCTGAAAACTAATCCAAACCCTATTATTATCTACTTTTTATAAATATACCGGAAATTTTATAAGGTATGATGATAATTATTAAGATATCATGAAAATAATTCCAGCAGAACATGCAAAAAATTATGGGTTTAAAGAGTTAATAATGACTGAAAAATTTCAAAAGAATTTTAGGCACTAATTATTACTGCAGTAAAATCAATAACACCACAGATAAATTTATCATTTGAAACACCTAAGACTTGAAGTAATGATTAAATCATAGCATATTTTAACTCAATAAGACAGAAATAATCTGATATACCATAGTTTAAATCAACTTAGGATAACAGAGTCAAAAGAGAAAAACAGCATTGCACCATTTTCACAAGCTTCCAGGAGTGTGTAAATTATACTGTTACGTCTCCGGTTTGTTAATTAACTTTCTGTAACTTCGTTCCGACGAAACTTAAGCGACACAAGTCCTTTCTTAATAAAACTGGTTTATTCTTTCCGAATATAACTCTGCGATACACTTAATCTCAATATTCGCGCTAAAACAAACAGTATCACGAACGAACGTTAACTTCAACAAAACCCTGTGACTGCAGTTCAATTACTCACTGTCTACACACACATTACCTTACATTCCCGCGTCACGTTTTCCCCTCTTATATATACCAGCCTACCCTACTAGTAAATACTAGACCATTCGCCAAGATACGGGATAGTTCTAGAAACAAGAGAGCGTGAGAATTGTCACGTGACCTCGATGACGCAACAATATATTGATCCAAGTAATTACAAAGTTGAAGCTACACTACTACTGTGTTATAATTTAGGAATTTTTACATTCAGTTAGATTATGTTGGAAGAGTTACATTTTCCTAAGTTATTGTTACTTATTTACAAATTAAATGAACTTGATCTTGTTGTCAACATTATACAGAAAACCCCCATCCTCTACACACTGCTTGAAAATGTAATGCAAATTATCTTTGTTGGCTTTCTGTCTTTAATAAGAAAGAACTTTTAACCTGTACTATCTATAAACACCCATACAAAGTTAATAATGCAAGAGTTATTATGCATATTCTACTTCATAAAAACATACAAGTCACATAACTACAGTCCTACTACATCGTATCTTTTTGTTAATATAGCAGGTTTTATAATGACACAACATAACAAATCATGGCATTGTTCTAAGTTAGCGAACAAGACTAGGTAAAAACAGCTGCTAGTATTGCAGTAATGAATGCAGTGGAGGGTTCCATGACACAGATTTGATGTCAGAAGAGTTCTGTGAATTCAAAACGTTGAGAACCATTGCTCTATGGTGTACATAACTCAAGAAAGACCATTTACATACTGGGCCTCAAAAAATAATTTAACTGTAGATGTTGCATCTATAATTCATTATAATGAATTAACAGTTTCAGGAAGTTAGTTTATAGCCTTATCCACAACATTACTGGAAAATGAAGATCCTTACCTTAGGTCTCTGGCAGGTGTTGATGGAAATATATATATATTTATTAGGTTATAAAAGAGCCCTTTCACACAATCCTTTTATTGCTTTTTGCCTTTTACAAGCCTGTTTTTTAGTTTCTTGAATTATTTGAAAAAAACTCTGTGATCATCATCATCACTTCTGTAAATGAATTACTGAATTTATTTAACTACTCAAAAATCTTTTTCATAGTTGTCATGTTTTTGTGCTTAATTTCTTTATGGGTTGACACAGTTAAAATGTGAAGTTTTGACTTAAAGCTACCTCACAACTTTGTGAGTAGATAAATCATCTTGTTATATACATCAACAGTCACAACATGTATATCCTTCACATATTGGGCTACCTTTGACTTCACACTTGACAGTAATCTTTGTAATATGTAGAAAATAATTCTCTAGTCATTCTTCCTCCAAATTCATCACCATCATTTAACCCTTTCCATACAGTTAGTTCAGAGTACTGCAGTAGTTCACATCCAAAATGGAGATGTTTCAGAATAACTTCTTTATAGATGGAATAACAAATATAGAACATAGAGGATATAATTTATTACAAAAATACAGAACCCCAGTAATTATATTAAGGGGAATATAACCCAATGACCATGGGCTACTAACTTTCTATGTAGCCAATGCAAGTCTTGCTATATTTCACTCCAACAATAAAACTAGTGGATGAAATTGCTTGAAACTTCATAAGAACTTTCATAAATGCATGTAATTTAAGAAACATAAAGGCTGTTACTTTTGATAAATTTAGTTTTTTATGCATTATGATCTTTAATATCTTGGAAAATTACAT